GCTTGTGAACATCTGTCTATTTCTGTGAAAAAACGTGGGCAGGACCAGCGATTCTGCCAGTCAGGAGTCCGGCCTCATGAATAATGCTTACTATAAAGTTAATGAGCTCCAAACAGCTGCTTTCATTAATGGTGAGCCTGAAAACAAATTAGTTTCAGTGAAATAAATGTCAGAGAGAAGTAGGCAAACTCTTGCCGCTTTAAATTCAAGTCTTTAATCAGGTTTCGCACAAAGTTTAGCTTGATGAAAGTTTTTCATGCAGTTTGTTCATTATGTGTTTGTGTTATCTGCTGGTAATATGAGACTAAAAAGTAATCAGTGGATTGGATTTGTGGCTTTCTGGTTGGAGGGAGACCAGAGTTAACAACTTTCTACTATCTGTTTCAGGGCCTAAATCTAAAGGATTCACAGCGTAAAGTACGGATATCAACCCCTTCCAACATTTCTTAGAAAAGACATGTTGTAAACAACAAGGGTGGGTGTGGGAAATATTTAAAAAAATTATTAATTATTTACGTTCAGCTCACATGCTTTGATACCAATTTTCAGTTAAACACAGGAGATTAATTTTCTCTCTACACAGCATTACAGTGATAAAATACCCCCCATGAGGGAGACATGCAGTAAAATTCACATCTAAATGTAATGTTCCAGAACGATCCCTGCTGTCCACACATTCACACGCAAACACAGGTAACACACACAAGCAGAAAGGAAAAAAAAGGAAGATATGGTTGTTGCCAGTTGCATTATTTGATCAATGAAACATTTTTCTCAGGAAGAGGAATCCCACTCTTTTATGAATTCTTTTGAAGGTTTTTTTGAGGCAAATGAGCTGGAAAGAATGCCAAGGACCATTATCAAGGACAGCGCCTGCACCTCCATTTTTTTTTAAATGGTGGGGATGCTGAATTTTTTGATGCTGGATAGTGTAGTTTATAATAATAATAATAATAATAATAATAATAATACATAATAATAATAAATTTATTTTGAGTGCCTTCTAGGAAATCAAAGACACTTCACATAAGTTGAAAAAAATAGAAACAACACACAAAAAAAATATACAAATCAGTGGTTGACAGTGGAATGAATCAGTACAGTCTTGGATCGTAAATTGGTTAAATGGACTGTATTTATTAGTGCCTTAAATGCCACAGTCACCCATTTTTCTCTTTTGGGGAGAGAGTTCCAGAGGGAGGGGGCAGCTAGGATGCTCTGTCCCCCAGGTACGATTGCTTGGTCCTTCATGGTGGGGGACAGGAGGATGGTGTCAGTGTGGCGATGGAGGGCTTTGTGAGTGAGGAGAAGGACTTTAAATTAGATCGTTGTGGACAGGGAGCCACTGGAGGTTCTGGAGACAGGGGTGATGTTGTCACAGGATCGAGGTATGGGTGAGCAGGCGAGCAGCCTGGGGGTCTCAGCAGCAGAAGAGGAGACGTGAGGGGCAGGAAGCATGGGATGTTTTTCAGGTGGGAAGAAGGCAGTTCTTGGTGATTGGTTGCTGTCGAAAATGACTTCAGCTGTTGCAGATGTTCGGAGGGAGACAAAAGGTGTTTTCAATCGGTTAGGCAGGAAGTTGTTTCTTGTTTTTTCGTGAGGGATTGGGGCGAATAGATTATGTGGATTTGTCGCAGTTGAGTTTGAAGAAGTGACATGCATACATGATTGATCAGTTGGAGGCAGTGAGTGGGAGTGGGATTGGGGGTGTGAGGGATTTTAGTGGAGACTAGAGGCTGGACTCATCAGCATAACAGTGAAGCGGAGACCATGACGGATATGAGGTTACGAAGGGGGAGGCATGTACAGATGAACAGGAGAGGACTGAGCACTGAACTCTGGGGGAATGCCTTGGGACAGGGGAGCAGTGGAGGAGGTGCAGGTTGTTGATATTGATTTGTCTGTTTGTAAGATATGACCTTAGCCAGTTTGTGTTTGGTTATATAGGTAACTAGATATTTATGGCTAGCAACAAGCAATATTTTAATTTTTTGACAATTTAAATTGTCAGTGTAATGCATTGAATCAGTTTCTCTTCATATTGTGAGAATAACTTGACATCTGTTTGTTTTGCAGGCATGATGTTTGTGCCAGCAGCACTTGTGGTTTGAATGTCCCTGAAGTCACATTCAATAACCTGTTCATATTTTCTTGTGAAGGGCTGTTTACTCAGGGTTTATTTGTAAAAAACAAATGAAGAAAAACAAGGTTGTGTCTGTCCTTATCCTCCACCTGTGGCCACCATAGGGTCAAACCATACACTGAGACAAACTCTGTTTAACAGCCTTGGGGTTTCTTTTGCCATACATGGGCTACATAAGTACAGACAAATGCTGTCACTTAGTACAAAATAGTCAGATGTAAATTAATTTAGAAACATGAGGAAGAAACATGAACCTTTCAAAATATTGAAATATGAATTGCACAGAGAAGTGCTTTTATGTATTCTTGTAGACAATAGACAATATAACAGGGAGAGGATGTCATACTGTTGGAGTATCAAAAGGTATTAGTATGGAAGTACTTTTGATAGATGAGTAGAGTTCTAATGTGGCTCATCAGGATGAAAACTCCACAGCTTAAAAAGTCACATTTTCACTGTATTTTATGACTGAAGTAGACCTGCTTTTTGTTTGCTCTGTTATTCTTGCCATAAATTGAATTTTAAAAATGTCAGTGATAATGGGTAAAAGAAGTTATATTAATCTGAAATTTACAGCAGTGCCATCCAAAAATATCCATATATACTGTGTATTGTTGGTTAACATAGTGAGGTTCTACAGGTATAACCATCAAATGTAGAGTTTGAACAAAATGTAATTTGAGTGTAAAAAATGCAGTGACAGTAGGATGGAAGTTGTTGGCCTGCAGTTAAAAAAAACAACATCTGGATTTTACTGTCATTTAGCCACAAGTTATTTCAACCAGGCAGGATGTATTGACTTTGTCATCATCTGCTTATTGTTTCAGAAATATTTCCCACAATCCTCTTCTCCACATTCACCCCAGCCACTTCAACCACCTGATACATCTTCAGTCTCTGTAAGTATACACACACACACCGACATACACACTCAAAGAAATTTCCTTGTGCAGTTGTGAAATATGCACTGTTTTCTGTAGGGCTCTGGAGGGGATAGAGATCCCAGACATTCAGACGAAAATGTTCCTGCCTATGAAGAACCTCTCCCACATGTACGTACAATCCTGCACAAGTATCACAAT